GTTAATTCTTTTTGATCTAACCTTTTCTCTAGTTCCTGGTCCCCTTCTCCTATTGGCCTCAGTTGCTTTTAAGGTATCTGCTTTTGTTTCTCTGCGTTGAGGGCAACAAATGCTAGCTAATTTTTTGGGTGTCTTACCTATCCTCATACCTTCCTTGTACATAAGATTACTTTTAAAGGCATGAAAGGATATTATTTTTCTTACTATAAAATGTCACTGTGGAGAAGGAACCTCTGTGAGCTGGTTGTGGAAGTGTATGTTAGTACAGCCACTATGGAAAACAGTATGGAGTTTCCTCAAAAAATTAAAACTAAAACTACCATATGATCCGAGGATCCTGGGTGTATAACTAAAGGAAATGAAAGCAATACAGCAAAGAGTCATCTGCACACCCATGTTCATTGCACCTCTAGTCACAATAACCAGGATACGGAGTCACAAACTGATGAATGGACAAAGAAAACTACGTATATACACATGGAATACTATTTAGCCATAAAGAGTGAAATCCTGCCATTTGTGATAGTGTGGCTGGACCTGGAGGACATCATATTAAGTGAAATAAACACAAATAGCATATGACCGAGTTCATAAGTAGAATCTTCAAAAGCATTCTCAGAGACCATATGGTGAGACTAGAATGGCAGCTACCATAGACTGGGCAGGGGTGGGAGTGGGAGAGAGAGAGAGATTGGTTAGTGGGTCTAGGTCACAGTTGGATAGAAGGAATAAATTCTGGTGTGCTATTGCACAGTAGGGTAGCTGTCACTACCACTAATGCATTATATATTGCAAAATAGGAGAATTTGAATGCACTTAACATAAATGGTAAAAGTTCAAGGTGAAGCATATGCTACTTACCCCAAGCTGATCATTTCACAATGCATATGTGAGTTAAAATAAAAATATAACTTTGTACCTCACAAATGTGTAGTTGTTACATGTCAATCAAAAAATTAGTAAAATGTCACTGAAAAATTTGAGGGAACAAAATGAAGAAACATACATTGAAAAACTCACCCTTGATCCCCAGCACTCCACCATCACCATTGTATTTACCTGTCTCTTTTACGTCTGTATGTATAACAGGTACATACGTGCAGTTGGAATCACTGACTATGCAGTTTGCTGTCCTGATTTTCCCCTTGATTTGAGATCATGAATAGGTAGACTGCATTATGAGGTTGGTACATAAGGCCAAACACAAACCAATCTAGACAAAGCTTGGCATTTGGAATGCTTGCCGTGGCTCCAGCTTTTCAGCTTACTTATACAGCCTTCCCTAGGAACTGCCGAATGGAAAGAGATATGGAAGCGTTAATTAATTGCCTGGATGTGGCTGGGAGTTTCCTTCCTAGGAATGGAATGATGCCCAGCAGAAGTACTGAGTACATAGAACTGAGCCTATGTCCCATAGCCAGGGGCCATGATAGGTAATATTTTTTTCTCTAGGAGCCTCAGTATTGAAAATGTATTCACTAATAAAATTAACCTTGGTAGGAAAGGGCTGATGACTTTGGCCAGGTCTCCTAGCACCCTTGGATGTGCACAGTCCCTAGGGAGGACTTCAGCTGGCCATTGCCCTGTCGGCCTAGGAGCAGTCTGTTAATTTGCTGTCCACTGAGGAACATTACTTGAGTATGTGACCTTTATACTGAGATTATGCCATGATAGAGGAAAATACCTTTTAGAAACATTCACAGATTTTACCAAAAGGGCAAGAAAGAAGAGGGGATGGTCATAAAGCAGAGTGTCAGTTTGTCAGTAAAATGTTTACTGATTTCCCTTTTCCCCTCGCATTTGTAGGTGTCTGCATTAGCTGTTCTTCATTAAATACTTGATCTCTTCTGAAAGAATGGATCAAGGATAACTCCTTAAGTTTTCCTAACAGTCTGAAGAATATGATTTGTAGCATTTACACCGAGGCTTCTTTTCTCAGGAATTTTGTTGATGTGATAACTTAATGTTTACATGCCACATCAGGGCTGTGAAATGCAGCATTGATGGTAAAGGGGAAATTAGTCCTTATATGTAAAAGACAGCTTCCCAATAATGTAAATACCAGGTGGTAATTTATAGCACCAAGCAAATGGATTGAATAGAGAGGGCTTCCAGTCTTGTAAGGTCATGGGTTAATTCTAGAATGCATTCTCACTCATTAATCAATAGCCAGTGGATTGTTTATAAAGAAGTAACTAATGGCATTTAACAGCAGAACCGGAGGTCCTTTGACCTTTTTCAAGAATTTTGATATTTATTTGATGTAAGACAAGTTGCTGGCGATAGAAATTCCAGAAGGGCATGAGGTTCTTCTTTTTTAAAAGACAGGATATTTACATAGAAAACTTTTACATGGAAGAGGTTTGCCTTTTCACTGTGGTTCTCCCATGTTCAGTAAGCACTCCTTACATGAAGAATAATTACATTTCAGAGCTGGAAAATGCTTGCAGTCCCCTAGCTCAATCCTTGTACTGAGCTGACCTCTGGCAAACAGGGCGATATGCTAAA